AAATCGGCGATATGTGCTTTGATCTAAGTTAAAAAATCTATCTTAGTCCGCTTAGTAATACTAGGTAAGCAAAAAACATAAAAAAAACAAGAAACAAGAATAAGTGGAGAGCACAAATAATGCTGGTTTTTAACTAAGGAGAATAAGCTTGATAAGACAAAAGCTTATTTTGATAGTGAACTCTAAGCTTCAATAGGGTTAAATGCAATCATCCGATAGCAAAGATAAAATTTCTTAAAAAACTTTTCCTATTCAAAATGGTGACAAGGAAGTGCAAGGTACGATATATCTTTCGACGTAGTCATTGCCTCTTAGAGCAAGGAGATTGATTATTTCAAAATATAACTGGTTATGTTCGATATTGGTATTTCTAAACCATTAGTGATTTGCTAATAGGAACTTACTCTAAATTATTTAAGGACTGATAAAGAATCTTTTTTTTCGACAATAATATAAGGAAGCATGATGCCGTTGACGTTCGTTTAGCCCCGCTTCACAAAACATTTTATACCCCACAGTCTAGCCATGGTTTAAGAATATCAATAATTCCTGAATAGAAGTTAAGTGAGTAACGTCTTTGAAATAATTTATTTTATGACGGTTGCTGAATTAGCTATAGGCAAAACAGAAGCAACAGAAGTGGGTCCGGGATCGGCCGTGCTTCCAAGGGTCGATAGGGAGGACATTGAAACTGCGGTGGGCCCTGGCAAAAGTCTATGAGCTCGAGCTGTTGCCTCACCAACGGATGTGGCCAAACGTGCAGCCTGCTCGCGGGTCAAAAGAGCCAAGCCGAGTTGGTTAGCCTGCTTAAATGGCTGGCCCATTAGACGAAGGAATCGTCGAGCTGCCTGGACCGCCTCTTCAGTCGACAGATTGACGAACGCATCATTCATCTGGGCTTGAATCCAAGCAGGAAGCTTAGATCGTTTGTCAGACCGTGCATAACGCTGAGAAGTCGATTGGGCAAAATATAAACAAAGCAAAAAAATATAAAAGCTGGGATCAGATAGAATGCTTTAAATACATTCTATACATTATCAGCGAGAAAGCGATTAAATTGATTAGCTAATAAAATATAGCCTACATAAATGATTATACGTTAAATAGTATCGCCAATTATGGTATATGTATAAATAAATAAACATATATATAAGCATCTGAAAAATGTTAAGGCGGATTGGATTTCGAAAAATCTCCAATTAAATTCTTGTCATTGAACCTTTCTGTTAATTTGGAGGGGTTCGTAAGTTGACTGTACTAAAAATAGAAAAGGGACCGACTTGGTCTTACAGAAATTGGTTTTTCAGTAAAATTTTTAGCACACCATCCTCCGCTTCCGATTTTTCCGTACTTAATTTAACATTGTCAGAGCATGAAGCCATTTTTGAAGAAAATTTTACCAAGCAATAAGACAAGAAGTGGTCAAATGTGAACAATATAGCTTAACTTTGTCCACTTAATTAGGCATATAACGATTTGATTGGTCAGGAAATCAGGTTACTTGGCTTTGATTTGAGAAGCCCTTCAAGCAGCCCGTACAAAGTAAATGGTAGAACAAATATGGACCCGATTTCGTTTGAGGAAAGCAAAGAATTTTGATCATTAAACTATCTCTTAATATTAATCATCCGAATTTTGCAGCACCTAAAAAGCCAAATTTTTGTATTATACGTGATTATGTATGAAATAAAATACATAAACCCGGGAAGCAGAGGACATAATAGCGAGACAAAATACTTTTTCTCGCTGGCATGAATTTAAAAAATGAGGTCACATAAGAGGATTAAATGTGAAAGCTAAAAGCGAGATATGAGATTTGAGATATAGTAAAATCGTAACAGGGCCAGGATAATGAAATGTTGAATGAATTTTTCTTTTAAATACAGAGGATATCGAAAAAATTTCTAACATTGCTGATTAAACGGTAGCAAAATCACCTTATCGGCCATAACAAGAACGCCATAGTCAGACTTTCCACGAATAGCTCTGCCTAAGCATTGGGCTGCATGCCGCATTGCATCGAAAGTTATGAATTCATTAGGCCGAATGTGATATTGTTCACGTAGATAGTCCAGTCTTGCCTAAAGATATAAATAGTATAAAATAAGCTGAAAACAAAACGGAACAATAGGAAAATAGAGATGTGAGCGATATTTATTACTATTATGTAATGATTTTAAAAATAAAGACTACTAAAAATTGGGCATTGTAAGGATTAGCACACAAACATTGTTTTTATGCTGAATCGCTGACAAGAAGTCCAAAATTCATAGTTTAATATTATTGACTTGATTCTAAAGTAAGACCAT